CTGTTATGCAATTTTACCACACTTGCAAAATCGCACACAGCCGACCATATAACAAACTCTGTATTTTGAGTGGAAATGTTAGGGGGTCGTCTTATACGCCGAGTCGTCTTATACGCCGGCAAATACGGTATATGTTTAACATGTTTGTTTCCCTCCCCAATATTTCCAACATAAAAGCCAAGTCCTCTTGACACTCAAAATCCCTACATGACCCAAACTATCTTGTTCCTACCATTATACTTCTTCACATACCATATTAAATCAAACTTATCTCACACTTTCTCATACATGTCTCTCAATTTCCCTTGTCTGTGCCTTTGTTCAAGAAATGATCATCATCACTCACACGCTCAAATTCTACCCACACGTAATACTCAGTTTAAATGCCACCTTCACTGATATTCCTGGCTGATACTCCTCTGAACTGCCACAATTCTTCATCTGTACCACTCTAAAGGCATTATTATTCTACATTTTATTTATTTAAAAATGTCCTCTATTAATTAACATGCACCTTGAGTGCAGGATCTGCACTCAATCACTTTTTAGACCTCTGAACTACTTACATAAAAGAAGAATGCAAATATCTGTATATTTTTTGATATTAGAAATTGGCATACACGTATTAGTGTTACTATACTGAAGCGCAGACAGAAAAGAAGAATTCAGTTAATAATCTGAGGATATGCTAATAAATATCTAACACAACTACTTTGCTTTCGTGTTTTGTTGTTGTTAAAAATACAACTTGCTTGTGTTCCAAACTTTCTTGATTCTACCTTTAATTTTTTCCTAATTAGTTTCTTAAATTTACTTATCTTTTCCACTTTCTTTGAGTTCAAATCACAGCTCTTTTCCTTATTAGCTATGTTTACCCCTTTAGGTCCCTGTTACCTAATCAATAAAATCAGGGGTGAAAACCTCAACTGCAAACAGGATTACCGTAGCATTAAATGAGATAATATATGTAAACCCCAGTACAGTGCCTGGTACCAACAGGCTCTCAGTGAATGGTGCCTATGAGGCTATTATTTCTTCCTCAGATATAGAAGCAGCAGTTTAAGCACATTTTGAGGTTTAAAGTTGAATATTAAAAATACAAAGAACCAAATCTCCTTTTATCTTCTCTAATCAAGACTGGACTAGAGTACACAGCAAGCAAAGCTCATATTTTCTTCTCTTTTTTAATTTAGAAAGATAAAAAAAATCTGATGTCATTAAAAAAAACACACACAAAGGCTGGCTGAGTGGCTCAGTTGGTTAAGAGCTCGCTCAAGAGTTTGAGCTCTGAGCAACAGCGGTTTGAGTCCCGGCCCGAGCTGAGCAGTCGCTGAGCTGCCAACAGGTAGCAGGATGGCTCAGTTAAAAAAAAAACAAAAAAACCACACACACACACACAAAGAAGAAAGCATTTTTATGGTCACTGATGAAATCGACATTTTAACGGAAACATCATTAGATTGAGAGTTAGGAACATCACCCTGGGTTCTGTAATTAGCTAAGAGCTATAATATATTAAAAGAAGAGTTCTTGTGAGCAAATTTGACCCCAAAAATGTTTTTGTTATGGATTTTTAAAAAAGCCGATTTTGGGCCGGCCAAGTGTCTCAGTTGGTTAAGAACGCGCTCAAGAGTGCGAGCTCTGAGCAACAGGGTTGCCGACTCGATTCCTGGCCTGAGCTGAACGGCCGCTGAGCTGCCAACAGGTGGCAGGATGGCTCAGCTAAAAAAAACAACAAAAAACCCCCCAAAAATCAGATTTAAGTTAGTACTATACTAACTTAATATAATAGTATATACTAATATACTATTAGTATATATGATAATAGTATATATTATCATATATACTAATAAATGAGGAATTTGAAAATCACAAAATATTCCTAAATCCTACTTTGGTTAACTGTAAACTCATAATGCTTTTATATTTGGCAGAAATTCATATTATACTCACATACCTTGTCTTTTTAAAAAGTTACTTTTTTAAAAAAAGTTATATTTTAAAATATTCCCTGTGGACAATGTACATTTGGTTATAGCTAAAAACACAGGCAATGCCCAACATGGATTTTTATTGTTAATTTATAGACAAATTTGAACAATCAATTACTTGGCAGTGGTTTTCTTCAGATCACTGTCATCTAGGCTTAACTCTCTATTACAGAGCAGGGAATTTCTAATCTCTAATAGCATCTATCTGAGTGACACTCACACAGATGAAACTCACGGTGGTAAACCACAGAAATACTTTCATTTATCACTGTGAGTCCCACTGTTGGCTATGCTGCCAATCCTTCCTGTAGCTCACATGCATCAGACTTCCTCTGATCATCTCTCAACAGTATAGATTCAGAGATCTGATCATAAAAAATCAAATCTATGAGTTACAATAAATATAGTATACATAATTCCCTAGTTTCCCAGAACTAAATATAACTAGAACACTGCCTTGACAAATGGTAAACAGCCCAACTATTTTAAATCACAAAGAATTCTGAATCCTCTACAGATGATATCTATTTTGAAAACGAGAACTCATCTCTGGCTTTTGGACTGAAAATGAACTATCTAGCTCTCAGTCCTGTATTAACCTTTCACACAGACTCACAGTGTCTTGGCTGGACTGAAGAAATCATATGTCTAGCACTGCGCCATATGTACAGATGGCACATTGGTTCAGAAATACTGCAGCTGGAGTCAGAAGACCCCATGTTGTGTCCCAGTCTTGCCAATTCCCAAAAGTCAGTCACTTACCTCTCTGAAAGGTAAATATGTTGGATAAATAAATGGGGAAAATAATAGTTCTACTTACCTAACTAAATGATACCAAATTGTTCTAAGGACCACGGTGGGCCAATATGAAAGTGCTATGCTACTCTGTAAATCTTTAAGCACTATAAATATGAGAGGTATTACTAGCACTAGATATTCAAAACACATCTGGTGACTTGATTTCAATACTAAATT